GCATAGCCCGAAAGAGTCAATTTTTTCGTGTCCGAGACGCTCTCGAAAATACAAGACGCTACACGAAAATAATATTTTCTATAATAAATGATGTTTTGCTAGTGCAATAAAAATCCAACTTTTGACTTTTGATGCTTTTTTGATACATTTGCAATTTAACATTTGATTTAAATATCACATTAAATTAATTACATATTTATAAATAAGTATGTTGTAACACATATGTACTGTGATAAATACTAAACTATTGTTAAATTATAAATCTAGTTATCTTTATTTTTGGCTAACACATAAATTGAATCATTTTAATTTTTGAATTTTGAAAATTAATTCTTTTTTCAATGCATAAATTTAACAAATTTTTAAAATATATTTATTGTAAAGCGTAAAAAGTAGTCTTAAAAGCTTCTAAATATCATTCAAACACGTTTTTTTTTATTGTCGGTTGTGCAAAATTTATTAAAATTAATAATAGTTTTTCATTTAACCGTAGTATATACTACTTTTAGCACTAGGAAACCCTTTTCTTTTGAAAAATTGCGGTAACTTAAAACTTCAAACGTTAAACGTCAAATTATAGTTTTTTAGTTTTAACTGAGAGTCGTAGTGTTCGGTTCATATTTTTGCGAACTTAGTTTTAAATTAAAATTGTGATATATTAAAAGTGAATTCAATACAAATTAGAAATGTATAAGGTATCTATATTAAAGATTTAAAAAGTTTTACTATAATTTTACAATTAGAATAATACATTCCAGCCCTTTACGCATGCTTCAGTGTGCAAGCCAAATAATCCAAAAGGTGTAAAAAAGGAGATTATTTTTCCAGTGCGTTTATACAAAAATAAGAATGAAACTAATGGATATCATATTATGCAGTTTAATGATCGTTCAAAAACTGGATTCACTTCATGGAAAGATGTTACCTTGGAAGGTGATTTTAATATGGAGACGGAATCCAGTACTACTACAAAGGATTACGATCTGAAAGAATATGAAGAGCAGCGTCGCAAAAAATATGGTATGGTACCAAAGAATGATATTTCTAAAGCTGAAAAATGGAAAATTAACGTGAACAATAATGGATGTGAATATTATAAAGGTGAGATGACAGATCAAGACACGGAGAATTGCGTTTTTTTTGTTGCTGAAAGAAATGTTTGTAGTGGTGGTTTGGTGGTTCGTCAGATTACCAATTGGTATAACTTTGAAGAACATACTTCATATACAGGTCACAACGTAGAAAACGCTGCAATGCAATATAGAAACAGAAAGAGAGCTTTTAATTATTTTGCTTCAAAGTTACAGCATCAGGCAAAAGCAATCACAGAGAGAGAACGTGCTATTAAAAAAACCAAAGTTGGTGGTACGACCGAAAGCTATGATTTCGATGAGAAAACAGGTGTTAATGAAAAAGAAAATGATAGCGATAATGAAGGATGTTTTAAAAATATAAAAAAAGGATCTCAACCGTCAAATGATGCAGATAATATTGAGGATATTGCCAAAAGAAATGATTATTACGGGTCATCCAGTGAGGAAACTTCAGAATTCGAGGCTTTTTACTACGGCAAGACAATGTATAAAAAATTAAATTCTAAGCAAAAGAAACGTAAGTAGAAAAATTGAAATGAATACACAACTACAGTTTGTAATATTTTCTCACCATCTTTTTAATCGTATAAGTACTTAAACTAAATTAAGTTAAATTTAAACACGATTATAAAATATATTTAACATAGAAAAAATTGTCTGCTATAGTTAATGCTTGTTGTTGTTGTTGTAATCCGCCGGGATTTGAAAACCAGATAACATGTAAGGATTAGAAGGCGTAAACATGGGTAGGGGAGTGGATAGGGTTAGACTTAATGGAATAAGAGGAAGGGGAGAGGATGGATATAATTGAAATCAACCAGAATCCAGCCGTAGAAATCTAGCTATCTCAATGAGATGAGTTCAAAGGTCGTTTGGATTTAAATTAGTGTGTGCAGTGGGACAAGAGAACAGATGGGCGACGTCATGGGGGTAGAACTGCATTTTGGGCACACATTAAAAAATAATGCTTAATTTATTGTAATTGTGTTTATTATGTTTCTATTTTTATGAGCATGAAAAAATAAATATATTTTTAAGAAAATGATGAAAATTTATAGAAACAAATAAACAATGAACAACAAAAAATACTTCTTAACAACAGGAAGAACAGATCTAGGCTCATTTTCTATATTACTACTCTTATTTTAATAGACATTAGTTTATCAAATAATAAAACATTTTCAAGAACACATTACCAACTACATTACCAACTAAACAATTAAGGAATAATTGAAAATAAAATATAATTTCATATATACATATTTTTGTAATTTTATATATTCATCAGGTAAACGTAAAGCTCCAAGCAAGGTCCAATCAACTCCAGTAGAAGACAATAATATTGATGAATTTTTTGAAGCAACAACTTCGTATAATACACCTTCAGACTCTGAATATGTACCTGAATGGGACTTCTGTGAAAAAGACGAGTAAGAATGTTATATATAAGTATATAATTCGCAAGTATATAATTCTGCATCTACACTAGCACGATTTTGACAAGATTTTAGCACACGTTATCATTTTATTAGACATACAAAGTTTTGTTTGAAGACAAAATTCGAAAATAAAATGTATTTAGATTCGAACATAAAAATCTCGCCAAAGTCTAACCAGTGTAGATGTTCGGTTACTGGATCAAACTGTTTGAATATTAATAGCTTGAGTATAGTTCGATTATACTGGGTTTTATATTTTATTTCATTTTCGTTTTAATATAAATACATTGCCGGTGTCCGAACAACGTTTGATGTTCGAATATCATGTAGCAGGCTATACACAGGCATTCGTTTCTAAATCTAATATTTTCTACGAATGTTGTGTGACAACATCATAGGAGATGGTAAAAAAAAACGGCGAAATGTGGAGTTTTAATTTATTAATTAAAGGTCTCTATAGCCGTCTGTAAACTAAATAGAAATACAATAATTCAGTTGTTCATTTATTATGTTTAGAGTATATATATATATTAAAAAATGTAATATTTTTTTAATTTTATAGAGAATACGCTGTTATTGAAGAAGCAGTGAAACGCTATTTAAAGCGAAAACCAATGACTTTAATGGATTTGCTTAAAAAGATTATAAGAAAGAAAGATAATACTATTCCTGGGGATAATGTAGTAGCACTTATAGCCGATATAATAAGGAAGTTGGGTCCACAGAAACGTAAAATTAATGGAAAAGTGTATTTAAGCTTGGATGAAGATGTTAATTTGACATTTTCATAATTGTGGAACTAATAAGTTTTAAACTTTAAAAGTAAAAGTAAAATTTAAGATGTAATAAGATATTTAATTGATTATAATTTTGAAACTATCTTACAGTTATTAATTTTATTGTATAAAATTAATTTTAATTCAATTCAATTAATTCAATTTTAATTTAATTCAATAAAAAAATTGAATGCATATAAATGATTTATTAATAATTATTTGATAACATTTATATTTTTTTATAAATTATTAAAAAGGTATATTTCATTTTTGAACAAATAAAATAATATTTTTAAGTTAAATCAATATAATATTCTCTTGATTAAAAATCTTTTTTGTTTAATTCTTGTCAAACGATAAAAAAGTTTTAATTATAAATATAAACATATAGTTAATTATAAATATTAAATATGTAAAAGTTATTGAATACTTAATAGTATAAACATAGTTTATATATATTTTTTTAAATGAAAGAGTGTAGCAAATGACTTATTTGATAATTAAAACATCAAAATTTTTTATATTAATATATAATTTATATAAATTATTTTTAATACAGTATATAAATTCAAAATTTTTAAACTATACTAATATTAAAAAATCTAATGTATATAGAAATCGAATGAATGAATATCTTTAGTATATTTGATATACTTATTCCGAAACTAGCCTTTCGACCACTTTTTAAATATAGGATGAATGACCGAGATAAATACTTAAAATTTTCGGTATTTGTTGATGGTTGGTATTTGACAATACTCGAAACAGCTTAATTTAATTAATAAATAAAATAATAAAATTTTTTTATTGCAATTTAATACTGTTCGAAAAATTTCTCTATTGAAAACAGTAGTTCCTATTGAGAATTTAGTTTCTTTCGTCAAAACGAACGTTAAAAAACAATTTAATTAAAATTTTTATTAAATAATATTATTTTAATATCAATAGCCTCAATCTGTTGTTGACGATAATTGTTTGAGAGTTAGTATAACAGTTCACAGTGTTGGAAAATTTGTGCTCACATGAAAGAATGTAATTTCTATAGTAAATGATGGCAATAAATTAATTAAAATAGAAATTAAAATATATACATTTTTATATATATTATTATATTCATTGTATAATGAAGAATAAAATTTTGTTGAAAACCTGTATAACACTTTAAAAATATATACGTTCAAATAAATGTTGCATCTAGTTATTATAAGAAGGGACTATTATATTATAATTTTTTATAATATTTTATTATAGATTTATGTATATTATTATTTCTATTTATTTCTAAAATTTTTAATAAAAACCAATTGTTTGTTATTATTAAAATAATTTAAATATTATTTGGTATAAATTATACCAGTTTTTCTAAACAAGAATATGTGTTATAACTATTCACTCCACAACATAAACACAGCTCGCTTGATTCGGCCATTTTGTATAAATTTCTACGGCAGGTAAAATTGGGCCGGAGATTTATATAAATTTTTGCCTTTAAAAATCATTTCATTATTGAAAAAGTGTAGAAAATTGTGAAGATTTTTTTGTGTTGCATAAATTTTTATATGAATTAACAATGGCTCGCTATACTCAACGTCCTGAAAATGCTTTGAAAAGAGCGAATGGTAAGTTATCTACATTTGATGAAAATTTCCATGCGGCCGTATTTGATGACGAAGTTGAAATGTCAGATTTTTCGTAATGCCTTCGTTGCAAATTAGCGAAAGTTGCTATTTAGTATGACGTTATGTAGTTTAAAAATATATACATGCTAACATTCAAAAATAAAACAATTTTTGTACTTTATAGAATTTATTGAGGTTGGAAAACCACTGCGGGCGCTCGATACTCTGCAAGAGGTATTCCGTAACAAACGTTGGAACTATGCCTACTCGGAAACTGTTATTGAACCACTCATGTTCAAGTACTTGTACTTGTGCGTTGAGCTCAAAAAGTCGCATATTGCTAAGGAAGGTCTCTTCCAATACCGCAACATGTTTCAATTAGTTAATGTCAACTCATTGGAGAATGTTATACGCGGTTACTTGCGAATGGCCGAAGAGCACACTGAAGCCGCACAAGCTCAATCTTCTGCTGCCGTAGCTGTACTTGAATTGGACGATTTGGATAATATCGCTACACCAGAAAGCATTTTGATGAGTGCCGTTTGTGGTGAAGACGCACAGGATCGTTCTGATCGCACAATTTTATTGCCATGGGTTAAATTCCTGTGGGAGTCGTACTGCCAATGTTTGGAGTTATTGCGTGTAAATACGCATTGTGAGGCTCTTTACCATGACATTGCGCGCATGGCCTTCCAATTTTGCTTAAAATACAATCGTAAGAGCGAATTCCGTCGCTTGTGTGATAAGTTAAGAAAGCATTTGGAGGACATCTGTAAAAGCACCAACCAAAATGCTGGTGTTTCTATCACAAAGCTAGAAACGCAACAACTTTGTTTAGATACTAGACTGTATCAATTAGATTCCGCAATTCAGATGGAGTTGTGGCAAGAAGCATATAAAGCTATTGAAGATATTCATGGCCTAATGGCTTTGTCCAAGAAAAATCCTGTGCCAAAAACAATGGCAAATTATTACCAGAAGCTGGCTATGGTATTCTCAAAGGCTGGTAATCAGCTCTTCCATGCTGCAGCATTGTTGAAATTGTTCCAACTTACTCGCGAATTGAAAAAGAATCTAACAAAAGAGGATATGCAACGTATGGCATCTCATGTGCTCATTGCAACTTTATCAATTCCTCTACCATCAGCTCATCCAGAATTTGATCGTTTCATCGAAGCTGATAAAAGTCCTTTAGAAAAGGCACAAAAATTGGCAGTTCTGTTGGGTTTGCAACAGCCACCAACAAGAGCATCCTTAATAAAGGAAGTGGTACGTTATAAATATTATTTCAATTTAACATTTTTTTTAAATCTTTGTTTAATATTTTCAGGTGAGGTTGAACGTGCCACATCTCGCTTCCGAAGAATTTCGTAACTTGTACAATTGGCTTGAAGTTGACTTTAATCCATTGAACTTATGCAAGCGTGTGCAAACTATAATTGACGTTATTGAAAAATCTTCAACCGATATTTTAACTCCTTATGTACGCTTTTTGAAGGATGTCACCATAATGCGTCTGATAAGACAAATTTCGCAAGTATATGAGAGTATCGAGTTTGCCAGATTGCTTGAACTGGTTAGCTTCTGCAATATATTTGAGCTCGAAAAGTTGCTCGTAGAGTCAGTGCGTCATAATGACATGCAAATTCGAATTGATCATCAAAAACGTTGTGTATATTTCGGTACTGATTTGGCTGAGAGTCAACGAGAAGATCAAATAGATGGTCCAACACTGCAATCAATGCCTTCAGAGCAAATACGTTCTCAACTTGTAAACATGTCTTCTGCACTGCATCGTGCCGTTTCGATTGTATATCCCAATCGTGAAAAGGATCAACGTGCCAAGCTACGTACCCAAATGGTGTATCATTACCATGAGATTAAAGAAAGAGAACATCAACGTATACTTCAGAGACAAAAAATTATTGAGGATCGTAAAGAGTTTATTGAAAAACAAAATAACGCCCGTGAGGAAGAAGAGGCGCGCCGAGTAGAAGAAGAAACGCGTAAAGCCAAATTAGCTGAACAAAAACGTCTTGAACAAGAGAATGAAGAACGTGAACGCAAACGCCATCAAAATGAGATTCTCGCTATTAGAGAAAAGAGTTTAAAGGTATGTGTCACTATATTATAAAAATTAAATAAATAAAGTATGAATTAATTTATCTTTTCATTTGCACACTAGGAAAAAGTGCAGCAAATTTCTCAAACTGCAATTGGTAAAAAAATGCTTTCGAAACTTGATGAGGAAGGCATTAAGAAATTGGATGCTGAACAAATTGCAGCACGTGAATCTGAAGAGCTTAAACGTGAACATAAAGAGTTGCAGTCTAAGCTGAAATCGCAAGAAAAGAAAATTGATTACTACGAACGTGCTAAGCGTATGGAAGAAATTCCACTATTCGAAAAATATTTAGCTGAAAAGCAAGTAAAGGATCAAGAATTCTGGGAAGCTCAAGAGCAGACTCGCATTGAGAATGCAGTCGCTGAACGTAAAGACGCTGTCGCACAACAGGATCGTCTTAAACGTATGTATTCTGATCGTGATGTGTTCTTGGAAGCTCTTAAGAAAGAACGTGCTTCACTCTTTGTGGAAAAATTGAAAATGTTCGATGTTGCATTAGCTGAAGAGCGCAAGAAACGTCTAAATATACGCATAAATATGAGACGTGAAGAGCGTCGCCGCCAGTGGTTACGCCAAAAGGAAGAAGAACGTATGCGTAGAGAAGAGGAAATTCGTCGCGCAAAGGAAGAAGAAGAACGTGCTGTCGCTGAAGCCAGACGTTTAGAACGTGAAGCTGAAGAAGAGAAACGTCGTATACAATTTGAAAAACAACGTGCCAAAGAAGAAGAAGCTGAACGTAGGATTCAAGAGGAACGTGATAAGTTGGCTCGCGAAATGGCTGCTGAAGGTGATCGTGAGAAAGAGCGTGATGTATGGCGTCCACATGGCGAGCGTGCCGAACGGGGTACAGGTGCTTCCGACTGGCGTACGTTTTAAATAATTAAATTTTTTCATTTTTAATATATTAAAATTTGTTGATATTTTCTAGGTCGCGGTGGTGCACATGCTGAACGTGAGCGACCTACCGAGCGTAACGTTGAACGTAACGTTGAGCGTAATGAACGTAAAGAAGCTGATACTGGTGGTGATTCTTGGCGTTCTCGTCGTGATCCTGATTCTGCTCCTAATAGGGGACAAGCTCCTGCTGGTCGGGATACGGACAAATGGCGATTTGGTGGTGACGATGAACGACCACGTGGTGGGGACTTCCGACGTGGATTGGGTGATCGCGATGTTCGTCGCGATGGACGACGCGATGATCGTCGTGATGATCGACGTGGTGATGACCGCCGCGAAGAACGGCAAAATGATCGTCGCGATGACCGGAGGGATGATCGACGTGATGAACGTCGAGATGATCGTAGAGGCGAGGATCGTAGAGGAGATGATCGTCGTGATGATCGTAGAGGAGATGATCGCCGTGAGGATAGACGAGACGATCGTCGAGATCAAATGGACAATTGGCGTGAAGCGCCAAGAAACGCAGAACGTGGAGATAATCGACGATTGGGTGGAGGAACAGCAAAAGATTCTAGTAGCTGGCGGTCGTCTGGACGTAATGAAAAAGAAAGACCTCCAGCAAGAAGGGAACAACAACAAGAAAAAGGTAAGTCTTGTTCATTATATGAATGTGAATTTACGTATGGCATCATTTAATTCCTTTATTTTATTTTTTTATAGAAAATAAAAATACTGATGATGGTGAATGGACCAGAGTTAAACGTCATTAGAGATTACATTTGCTCCTATTTATAATATATTTCATACTTTAGCGGCCTATTAACTCCAGCAGAATTTTTACCTGATTCACTTATTACTAACTTATCAGTAATGTATTTAAACATATATATATGTATATACTTAAATATATATGTATATATATTTATATTAATATTGGTTTAAAATTTATGTTTTTACAATATAACTCTTAACTATAAAAATTTTTTTTTAATTTTTGTAACTTTTTTAACATGTACATATGTTAAAATATATATAATGAATAAAAATTATGCTTGGAGAAAAATGTGTTTATTTTTCAAAAAAAAAAAAAAACCGGGTAACGAAGATAAATGTTCCCCTAATATTTAATCTTTTCAACCTTTTAAAAACCATTCACAAAAGGCCATTGAACCAAAAACGAGTGGTGGGTGAAGGTGGAGTTAACAAAAAGAAGGCATTGGTGTTCGGTGGTTTCTTTAGCTTGCTTCGTATTTTTATAAGTGTTGCAAAACGTTTTCTAACCCACTGTATATTATAAATTTGTTAATTTAAATGAAGTATTTTATGTTTATAAAATTTGTTTCTTTATTCTTCATTTGTTAAAAAAGCATATTTTCACATATTTTTTTTTAATTTAAAAACATTTTAAAATTAAAAATTAAAAATTTTTCTAATTTAAATCACATATTCTAATTTAAGAACTCATATATTTTATATACTTAAAATAGTGAGAACTACAAATATATAATAAAAAATGGTAGGTTAGAAATTTAATTAAATGGTTTTTTTTCATTATGTATATGAAAAAATGTTCATACAGAGTACTGCAAGGATTTTCTTATACAAAATTTAAATACCCACCTATATTCTTTAATAAATATTTAATGTCTCTACAAAAAATTCGTATTGAAATTTAACAATTAAAAAAATATGATAATTACTTAATTCAATTATTCTACAAGTGGTTTATAATTTCGTTATAATATAAAACAGCAATTGAATTTTTTAATGAACTTTCACAGCAAATCAACTAAACTCCAAGTTCGAACATACAAATCTAGTAAGGTTGTTGATCTAAACTTCAAATAAATGCATATAACAGATAGTTCCAAGACCACCGATGATGGGTACTTCACAATAGTCGAAGCAACTGTATGATCCGCCAAAAATTTATTTAATTAAAAGTAAATAAAAACTTTGTTGTTACAATTCAGTACTGTCCGAGACCTCTCTATAAATACTCAACTGTATTTGACAGATCTTAAAAATCAGAACAATAATGGATATAAGCAAATGAGCCAATAATAACTAAAGTCGTTTTAAAACAACTCTCAACATTTTAACGTCTAATAAAAATTAGTAAGTGAAAAGCAAAAAATAATGACTGATATTTATTATTATAATTATTATGAATAATTTATTATAGAATTATTTTATTATAGAAATTCTACACAATCTTTAATTTTGATTAATATTTATTTCTAACAAAAGTTTAATATAAATGACCATATAATTATAAATAAAAAATCTATATTTGAACGATTAATTCAAAGAAAAATAATTTTTGGTCATTTAAATAAAAAAAAAATAAATTTATTAATAATTAATTGTTTTTAATAAAAAAACATAAAATAAGTTTCTTCAATAATTAACATTTAAGATTTAACATTGCATTTACACATATTCACATATTATTTGATTCAAATAATCAAATTGCCAGAGATCTTTTACCTATCAATTATCATTTCTTATAATACCTCATTTTCCTCATATAAAAGAACATATTCAATATTTGACATAATAGACAATTTTCAATTGACGCAATTGACTTTAAAGACAACTACTATTATCTTTGAAGATAATTGTGAATGACGTAAATTGAATATATATAGTACATTCTTACTTGAACACGATTTTCGATATATAGAAGCAAAATATCATTGAACATATTTTACCTATTAAACCAACAGGGTTAATGAAAGTTCTTTAAAATAAATTTACTTTATTTACAATTTTTAAAATTTTATTATATAATTTTAAAATTTTTTTTATTTAAAAACTAATAATATATAAAATAATATATAAAAAATATAATATATATAAAATACATTTCAAAATATATTTAATTTTAACAGTAATATATGGCATGAGAATATTTTCTAAAATATTTTTATTTTTCTACTAAGAGTTAAGAAAATGTGTAATAAAAAGAAACTGTGAAAATAAAATAATAAATAGCAACAATGTTAAGAGTGTGGTTCCAAGAACGGTCGGGTCTACGTCTCAGAGCCACTTGTCGCCAAAGACGACCAAGTACAGTTTGACACCGCCTAAAGGGACTTCACAAGCAGGTCCCAGCGGGCTATAACAACAACAACATACTAAGAGCGCATATTTTTATTTCTTTGCTACATTTTCAGTAATTGTCATGTATATGTATAATTGATGGGCCTTTATGGCCGTGTACAAGTTCAAGCAAATTGAAATTTCCTAGAGATTTTTTGCACTGCACTTAGGTAAATATTTATTTATTGCACTTATTTATTATTTTTGGTTAAAAGTTTTCAAATTTATTTATTAAACATCTTATAAAATTTTCACAATGGTAAAGCCTAATTTTTATCTAATTTACCCTATTCGAATTCGACATAATTTACCATTTACTGCTGCCCTCAATTTACTCGAAATCGCCATCGGGCAATATATGCTTTTATGTCTTTCAGGCATTTTTGGCAGACCGTATTCGTATCCCACTGGGTTCTTTTTACTTTCAGCCACGCATACTACAGCCTCAATGTATGGAAACGACACACTTACAACACTTATTTTGTTGGTGCTGCCAAATCTCATGTTTAGAAAGGTATCATCCACGTGCAATTTTGCAAACAGAATAAAGCGAAATGTCAAAATTAGTATAGTAGACAAGTGTGAACGTCGAGCGGTCCACGTGAAAACATTAATTCGAAAGTTTTGTTTAAAATACCGTGTGTGGGAAAGTCTAAAGAAATAAATTACAATTTTGAATTTTTTACAATTACAAAAAACTGTTAATTAAGTGTCACTAAATTATTATATTCATAAAATTAGTTATTGTGTTGTGCATATCCAACATGTGGGTTTTATAGGCGGCAAAGAGCGTCATCCATACATAGTGAACAAAAAATTACTTATTAAGCACTTAAGTATGTCAGCAATTTACATTTAACTTTGCAACGTGTCCAGATTAGTTGCGGAAAGAACTTATTCACAGATATAGTAGGTAAAACAAATGTTTTTCTTATCTTTGAGATACGTATGTTATTTTCCTGAGAATGCAAAACATTTAAAATAAACATATTGCCTTCTGGTTTACAGGTAAAAATATCAATTACAATTTGTTTGAAAAGCACATGGCAATGTATGGCAGCGATTAGTTGACACACACACAGCCATGCAAATGACGTATTCGCATTTTGTTGTTATTATTATTTGCCGCGTGGTTGTTTTAACTTTGTCAGAGCTGCACAAATTGTATGAAAACTGCAGAGAGTTTAAACAAAATAAAAACGATATCACATATACACACAAACACACCCTTATTTGTGTCAGATCTCTATTTCAGTATTTAAATCTCCAAAACTGTTATTGTTTGATTTCATTCGTTTGATAATATTTCAGTGATATTAATTTAAATAAATTCTTTATAATATTTTAAATTAAAAAATAATCTTCTAGTGATCAGATGAAGTTTAATTGAGTTAATTGAAAATATTTTGAAGTTATTTAAATTTACCTGGTGACTAATTAAAATATACGTTATAAAGGTTTAGAGCACGTGTTTAAGAGTAGTTTTCCATATTAAACATGTAAGTTTTTGAAAAATTTATCAGAATTATTTAAACGAGGTATTAATATATTATAATAATAATTTATTGTCTTAATGTCCAAATTTTATTTATATGTATGTGAACGGATTAATTGGTCAATTGTTTTAGTAAAACATTTTAAATTATTTAAAAAAATATATTTTATTATCACCGATATTTCGATTATAGTAAAAAGATGACTGTAGATTATAATCGGAATATTGTTAATATTGTATTAAAAAATAAATAAATTTATATACTGAATTAGGGATTAATATTGGTGGATTTTAATATATTCAAATTTTAATTTAGAGGATTAAAATGAACTTAATTAATTTAAAGTTATATTATATGATTTTTGAATAACCTTCACTCTTCAAAGTATAATATATAAATACCATATATGTGTGTATGTAGCAGTTTAGCGAATTCTAGATGTTCTGAAACTATACATATTTATGTACACCGAGGTATGGTCGTACCTTTTCAATAGTTTTGTTTTAACGAAAATTAGAATAGTTATAGTGAAGGTTAATTGACGCATAACCTCTTGGGGAATATATGTTGAATTATTGTTGCAATATTGTTGTTGTAGCCCCATAAGTAGGTGTAGAAGTACATAAGTATAGACATGAGAGAAATAATAGAAAACGAATACATAGGTTAGCGTACGGTTTAGGTAGGGGTAAATGAGACGAAAAGGTTATTTTAGATAAGGAATTAACAAGTTAAGCGTAGATTTTTATAGACACGTAGAAACCTGGTCATAGAATACGGTTCAGAGGAATTATTGAGGCTCTATGTTCCACTGGGAGTTAACGGAACAAAGAAGAAGAGGAAACCTGTTCACTTCTATGGGACAGAGTCAAAGATCATTGTTGGTATGATACATTAAAGTCGGTTTTGTTTTTTAAGGGATTTTAGCTTTTATTTCGATCGTTATTTTTTGTATATACAGTCAGCGACAAAACTCTACATACACCCCCCATTTTTGCTAGCTCGTAAATCCAAGGACATAGTAGAAAAAAGTAATGATACAGTTTTGTTTAGAACTGTTTTTTATTAATAATAAACAAAAGAAAATCCATTCATCAATATAAATTAACAAAGTTATTCGAAAAAAACCTAAAAAAATCATTGACAAAAGTCTACATACACTTCATTGGTTGTTAGATATAGTCGACAGTAATTTAAATGTTAAACGGGAAAGTACCGTTTTTCATATTTCATGCTTGTGGCATGAGTCATACATTTATATAATGCACTTAGTTGTGCTTTGAGAGTGGTATTTAATTGACACGAGGGATCCACGAAAAGAATTTCAAGTAATATGCGAAATTTGGTTATTAAACATAGAAATGAAAAAAAACCTTATGGTAAAAGTATCAAAATTAGTAAATTTGACTCGATCAACAGTTCAGACGATAATAAAAAATTATAAAAATAGTGGTTCTATTGAAAATAAGCCTGGCAGTGGCCGCCCAAGGTTACTCATACGTAGGGATGTCAGCTTGGTTTTAAAAGAAGTTAACAAAAATCCGAAAGTAAGTGCCTTAAAATTAGTCGAACACATTGCTAATGCAACTGGAAAGCATACGTATACGTATACATACGTATACGTATGTATACGTATTTCGACAAATTCGATTTTGCCTTAATCAGGAGAATTTCTAATGTTCTAAATATGATATATTGTATCAATCTTTATAATTAACACATAAATTAAATGATTTGGTGTAATATATTTTCATTGTAGACAGTTTATTTAAAATTCTTTAAAATATTAGAATAAAATTAAATATATATATATAT